GCCACAATGCCCGGCTAATTTTTTGTTGCAGTTGTCATTGTTGTTTAGCTGGATTTAAGATTAACTTAAAAAATCAATATCATTGTTTTATACTATCAATAACCAGCTAAAAATTAAAGTAGAATAGATAACTAAAAATAGAATAGAGTGGGGCACTGGGTAGCCCCCTCTGTGCAAGCACCCTATTCTCACTTCTGAAACTGCACAGAAGTTATAGGCCTGAAGCTCTACCCTCCCCCACAACTCTAGGACTCCCCCTGCCGACAGGTTGAAAGCACTATGAGACTAGCCCCACATAGGCTGAGGTATCCAGCTACTGTCTCTCAGTTTCCAAGTACTTAATTCTTTTCTTGTGGCCCCAGTTTGGGCCTGCTGCAATAACAAGGTAGAGGTAACAAGAAAAAATAGCTCTTGTTAATTTCCATGGTAGGGGTAGGAATGAGCCATAGCCCAAATAGACACCAGTTGTCTAGTCTATGCTGCTGTCTCTGAAGGACATTCTTCGTCTATCTAGGTTGGACAATTATGTCTCCAGTCCAGAAAGCTCTCCCTTGATCACATATTCCTACTCCTCAGAAAGGCATTTTTGACTTCCATCCTCAAGCCCCCCTCTTGTGATCCGTTCTCCTTCCTTCCTCTGTCTGGCCTGCAGTTAGGTGCAAAGGGAGGCTGTGGGCAGCAGAAGCCAGGGGCTGAGCAGAGGGAATGAGCGTTCTATCTCATCAGGTGGCCCACTAGGTCTCAGGGCTAATGTCCTAGGAAAACCTGGGACCGAGCCCTCCCCAGGGCTCCCTCCATCTTTTGAGAACTCTAGGATATTGCCTGGGAGCCTGAGACATTCAGGGGCCATGCCTTGAGATGGGAGGGCAAGAGTTGGGGAGGCAGTTGTGTCAGGAGCAATGGACTAAAGAGAAGGTGAGGGACCCTCAGGAGGCTTGGTGAGAGTCACAGCCTCATGCACTTGACAGCCTCCCTCTTCCCCTCTGGAGGGGCCCACAGGGCAGGCACAGGAATAGGACTCTCCCTGAACCAGACCCCTTCTGGCCCCAAGGAGTGACAGGTATAGGGCAGTCCTAGGAAGCCCCAACCCTGTGGTCCCCACATGTGTGACACCTAAGAGGCCTCCCATGCTGCTGCTTACAGGATTTCTGCCAGACGGAGTGTAGGAGACACGGAGGGAGGCTTCTCCACATACAGACCCCCTAACTTCCTCAGCTTCTTGGCCCTTGAAATCAGTTGTGCAGGCCTGGGCTGCAGGAAAGGAGCCCAATCCTGAGTCCATTCTTCCTCCCATCCTCCCAACTGGAGCCTGGTATAAAGGCTTTGCTTTGGAGATCTTTCCTCTAACACACCAACCCCAAGTCAATTTGCAAATGATTCACATGTATATATATTAGTCTAATGTTTTAATGAGGATAAGAACAGAAAGCACCCCCCCCCCAACACACACACATCCCCCTAATGCCTTAGTCCTCACCCAGGTCCTCTGACCCTCTTTCTTTTCTCTTCCCTGTGCTCACAGCTGGCTCCACTGTTCCCACCCTCCCTCCCAGCCTAGGAAAACAAGATGGACCCCACCCTATAGACAGGTGCTGTCTTGGAGAAGAAAGAAACCCACAAGGTGAGGGGCCATGAAGCTCACTGTCATTCTGCTCAGTGACTTAGCTTGGGGCTGGGAGACCCCCCTGCCCCATCAGTTTGCTTCTCTTAGGAGAGTGTGTCCTCCTGGCCAAACTTCCCCAGAAGCCTCCTCACTCCTGGCTTCCTGGGGCTCTGGGTGCAGAGTCCATCCTTGGGGATTGTCTCCTTGGGTCAG